TTATTAGCTATTTTCTCCCACCATTGTGTCATTTTCGAAACGTTTTGAAGACATTTGTATGATGTGAAAGCCATAAATTTAAAATATTGAGATGAAAACGAGTTAAAGATAACATTTACTCCGATTTTTAACGTTTAAATTAATTAAACGAAAATATTCCCACATTACAAAATCATTCGTCATTATAGGCTATATTTAGTACAAATAAAAAAAAAAATAGTTTCTGGAGAATTGCGTCATAACAAAGTTATAGATCCAAAAATATAACGACATTATTTATGCTTGACATCTGCCTAACTTTTATTATTATTTTTTTATTAATTCTACAATTTTTGTAATCATAAGCTTGTCATGACCGTGATTAAAGCAAATTTTTATTTACTGATTAACAGTAGAATACAAAATTTTATTTGGCTACGATTACGACATATTTCTTGAGAAATACTGCAAAAATATATAGTGACTAATTGCAAAAATGAAAGTGCTTATTAATTTTGACGCATACTTCCAATCAAACACTGCATGGTAAGTATCAGTTAGACATGTTTGAATGCAGTTCAATATAGTAAAAAATGAATTTCTATTTTTATTCTTCTTAATAAATAAAGATGAATAATTTTCTTAGACAAATTTTAAAGTCGGAAACCGTAAAACCGTAACCATTTAATTTCTGTTAAGTATTTTAAATATGAAATTTTAAAATAAAAAAATAATCTTTAAAAAATTCGCAACCCATTCAATTTATTCTGCAATTTTCTTTAAATAAATAAGTATTTTATATGATTAAAAGTTATATAGGCCTAATAATAAAAAACACATACACATTATTTTTTTAAATTATTGCATCTCTCTTTATTTTGAATTTAAACTTCCTAATAGAATTATTATTAATTTTGTGCACAATATATATTGTGCACAAAACTATATTAAAATATTTGAATAAATATATAATTGGTTTAAACCTAATGAATCAGAAACATGTATAAATGGAAAACAAAAACGAAATGAGTGAATCTATCAGAAGAATGACGAGATGAAGAAAATAAAGACCAATATCAAACAAAACTGAAAAAATTAATTAAATTAAAACAGTTGGATGATTTTACTAAATTGATAAAAGTTAAATTTAACAATATTTTACAAAAATTTTACATAAAATATATTGATATTATTATTGCTTGAAATACATAGCAGTTAGCACTACTTGAATTTTACAATTTGGTCGTACAAAAGATTCATTAAAATTCAAATGGCATTAAATATCTCTGGAAAATCAATCTTTTAAGATACTGTATTTTAGTCCATTTAGTTCATTCTCACCGATTTTCTGGATATTTTCGGTCGGCGTTTCGAATTTAGTCTATTTGCTTTTAATGCATTATTTTCTTTAAAAATTTTCACAGAAAAATAATGTTTATAATGACGAGAAAATTCCTTAGCTGACGAAGTTCACAGCTCACAACAAACATTTTCTTGTTGTCTACTGATGGAGTCTGTGACCTGTAGTCGACTTCCATCAGAATTGCCCACAATATTTTAGATAGTAGTAAAAATTACAATAATTGGCTTATAAAAGGCTTTGCCACATTTTAATCTGTTTCAATTTCAAATCATTTCCTAAAAATAATTATCTATTAATATAACTATTACAGAATAAGAATGGAAAGTTAATCTACAAAAGCAAAGGAAAATACAGTAGTTCTATATTTATTATAAAGTAATACATACATAGGCGTATGTAATAAAATTATATCGTATGTTTAAACTGCTATAATCTATTTACTATTTGAAATTTTCGCCATTTTTGCAAGAAATTTGAAAATTATAAAAAATAAATAGATATGTCATACGACGTCATATGACATGTTGTTTGAGTTTACGAAAGTTTTTAGCTGCTGTGGCGAAGTGATAGGCATTCCATATCCAGTACATCGGCTTTATTCTTCTCCTGGGGAATATTATAAAATAGTATTTGTTTATATAGTATAGTAATATTTCTTTATTCTGATTCTCAATATGAAGTTAATGTCTTCATTAGATGAGTAACTCTTAAACAATTTTCTCATCAGTCATGCCTATTAAAATAATTTAATCTTAAAATAATACCCTCTTGAAAGAAGGTACCATTTTATATAATTTAACCCTAAAAATGAAATAAAGAACAATCTTCAAATTAGAACAATCGCTCTTGTGCCTCTTTTTATATATAATATTTATGTTCTATACATAATTTCTATATATATTATTTATATTTTAATTTCTATACATAATATACATAATTCGAAACGTTATGCATAGAAATTTTTTTCAAATTTACTATTAATTGCCAAATTAATACAACCAAATATATACACACATATAGGCTATACCATCCGTTAGAAGACTTTTTTGGAAATTTAATAGTAACTTATTCAAAAAGCTGACTTCCATAATATAGTCTACTAATGATTTGTGAAGTTGGTTTATATCTGCATAAAAATAACTACTTAATTATACAGGGGTTGCAAAAGTAGATATACAGTTGTTATTATGTGAAAAAACATACAGGGAAAAAATAGGAAGAAAATACATTTATTTTTATGTACAAATTAAACCACAAATAAGGAATACGAACTAATAAAAGATAATGAAAATAATAATAATAATAATGAACACCAAATATTTGTATTTCTCAGATTCTTAACTGTATATCTACTTTTGCACCAGCCCTGTATATTAAAAAAATGAATAGCTTATGTAAATAGTCATACACTACAAACATGTATTTCAATGATGTATTTATTTATACAATTTTGATAACTAATTTGTTATTAATTTAGATAAATATAGTTACCAAAACATTTTTATTTGCAAAAGTTTTTTTATAAATGTACAACTCGATTATGTACTTGATCAGTACCGAAAAATTGATCAGTGTTTTACTCGCTACGGTACTGCATCTAATGGCATAGTTTAGTGACAACTTTGTTAATTCCGCTCACATATTAATTATCTCGAATTATGGTTATTTCATCGGAATGTCTAATATTTTGCTTCATAAGTTCATCAATATTTTTAGCTGATAGCTTCAAAGGTAAGATAAAAAGCTATAAACTTTCAAGTATCACATAGGGGTATGATTCAATATTGACTTAATTAACTAAATTTTTTTACAACTTTGAAATAAATTTTAAGAATTAATTTATGAAATTTTATTTTTAAATTTAAATTTTATATTTTAATTACGCAAAAGTTTTTTCTCTAACTTCAATGTTTGATTACGAGTTTTATATATGTGACAGAAACATATTAAATTTATATTTTAATAGTTTAGAGTCCTAAAAAGGAATTCTCATTTTTTGAATGAATCATAAACAAATGGTAATTGTTGAAAACATAAATTAAACTAGATATATAATAAATATAATTTTTTTTTTTCTGTTTCTCTTTATCGTCGTCAAGATTAACTGTCGTCGAATTCACTATCGTGAATTGTAATTATTGCAAATACATTTGAATCTTGAATGCGAACACAAGGAGAATTCAAAGAAACGCTAAATTATCACAAATTCGAACTAGTTTACGTAAGTTTAATATGATAAGATTGTCATATTAAACATACATAAACTATTTTAAAGTATTTATTAGCCACCCTGTATAATGCGTATAAGGCAACTTGATGATAATTATTTTTCCTTATTCCTTCTATTTCAAAAATTCGAATTTTTTTATTTTTGGAAATTGAACTAGTTTTGGCGATATCACATTTTTTTTCTTTCTCATTTCTTTAATCTTTTTAAATAAAAATAATGCGTTTACATTTTCCTCTTAGACATCAAAATAACGAATTTCCAAAGAAAGAAAATGTCGTTTCTTTAATCTTTTTAAATAAAAATAATGCGTTTACATTTTCCTCTTAGACATCAAAATAACGAATTTCCAAAGAAAGAAAACGTCCATTTTTTAATATAAAATGTAATTTAGAATTATTTTATGTAAAAGTTGCATTGATTTAGAGAAAGTTCTCTCATCGAGATGAAAACCAGCAATCTTGCAAATATAAGTAAAGAATGATCTCACCGAACCGTGCGATCTTGACTGATACTGCATGTTCTGCAAAGCTTATACATGAATGCTTCGAGATGGTTTAACTTCGATTTTAATGAAAACATTTGAGAAGAGTGCTTTGTCCCTTTGCTCAATAAAAGTTCAAAGTTTATCCAAACAGAAAATATTATTGAAATTTGTGATAACAATGCCGTGACACCCCTTGTAAGCTAGTAAAAATGGCTTTTAAAAAGTTTGTTTTTAGTGGTTTTGGAAAGGATTTTGTAACAATTTTTTGTAGGTAGACAGTCACACTAAAACTTTTTCCCGTAAATATTGGGCGTTTTTACATGTTAAAAAGAAATTCATAATTGTGTTCGGTTCTTGACAGGTTTCACAAGTAACTGGATTTAAAGAAAAAATAATTTTATTTGTATAACGTAATTAAAAATCGAAATGTTAATTTTTTTCGCTCTTGCTGTTTACAATGTAGCGTCCACCATAAATTGATATGTGACTAATATAATTTATTAATTTAAATACAAATTTAAAAAGAGGGTTCGAATTAACCAATAATTCAAATTAATCAGATCCAATTGCATTACATTTATATAACTGTTTTTGAATTTATTTGAGTTCTTGTTAAGATGCTTCAAATTTCGTTTTTATTTATATTTGTGCACAAAATAAAATAAAATAAATCATATTTTAGTATTATTTATAATAAATATTCAAATTATTTTAAATTCAATTGTCAGTAATTTAACTATTATTTTAAAAAAGGTAATATAATATTTTTTCAAGATAAATATATTATTTATCTTAAAAGGAAAAAATTTAACGATATGATTACAACTATTTTTTTATTATAAATTAAAAAACAAATTGATAAAAAATGATAAAAATATATAAAAGATTAAGATATCTAACTCGAATAATAATTATCAATAAATCCCGTATATATAAGATGCAGGTAGCTTGATACTTCGTCATTGTTGTTTGCATTCCGAAAATTCATGTAGCCTAAAAATGATCATCAAGTCGATTTACTTATTGGTGTTTTCTACACTCTTCACATGCTTTGCAGAAAAACAGATTGATTCTGCTCGCTTCTATCATCCAAATCGTAAATATTTTTGAAATATTTATTTACGTTTTATTTTACTATTTGAAGTATATAAAAATTTTAAAGAATTTAGAATAATTTTAACGAATTCAAAACGTTATTAAATTTATCGTAATAATATTGTTTTAAATACAGCATTAATTAAATATAATTCTTATAGATATTTATCTATAGTACTATAAATGATTAATTAAGGGTGTATAAATAGATTACGCCCTTTATAGATTACGTTAGTGCACGCGATAGTTACTACTTTTCGTGTTACATTTCGATTATTATACTTCATAAAATAAAAATGTTTTATTTGAACTTAATTCATTTTAAGTTCAGATAAAACATAATATAAGTCGTAATTAGTATAAAAAATAACAATGTAACAATAAGAGTTCTAATGATAAATTTCACATCAATAATATAAATGTACAATTTTAGAAAACAAATAATGCTTTAAAATATACATCTGCTGTATAAAACACATTTTCAATATCAGGAATTAATTATATGTTTAGAAGAGAAACATTTACCGGATGATCATAATTACTGTAAAATATCCCTATTCAATGCTGCCTGGAAATATATTTAGCTATATATATGAAACTAAATTCGGTACAATATAAAGCTAAAATCGGCAATATTTGCCGGGTATAATCACTTATTTTGGAAACCACTAAAAAAGGGGCATTTATAGGCAAATAAACAAATTTGCCTATAAATCTGTATTCAGTGGTTTCCAAAGTAAATTCGGTATGATGACATTTTTGAATATGCGGAAGACATTCCGTAAAAAGAAAAAGAAAATAAATAGCATCAAAACTCATTATTATGGAGTTTTAGTGTTTTAAGCGACAGACAGATTGTTTAAACGAGACACTTGTGGTATAGAAAAAAGACCTTAGCGAAGCATGGAATACTGTTCAATGTGGTCACCACTCTGAACATGTAAAACCTAAAGATGAACACTGTTTAATGCTCGGGGATAAAGTCGGCATTTTTCCCTCTTAGTGATCTCTTTAGTCATTTTTATCTATTGAAGAAATAATATGCGTAGAATGTTTCTTTATTAATAAAAAGAAATCTTAGATTTCATTTTCTATTAGTAATAATAACATTAATTTTATGAGGGTAAGAACCACTACAGGCCCCAAAGTTTTCTCCGCTCCCAGAAGATTTTTCCTCTCCTTTCAACGACTCCGATGATGAACTTTAGGACTAATTTTTAACGGAAATGTCTTTCGTAGCTTATATCCTAAATGTCATCATGTCAAATTTTTGTTGCATTTGAACTGCTAAATATCTTTCTTGACAGCGTTGAATATGAAACGTATATGATTCAGATTTACTACATGAGGTAATTGAAGTTGAAATAACACTGTTTATAAACGATTTAGAGCAAGCTTAAAGCCAGAATCTCAAAAAACAAAAAATTATTATTGTTATTGTTATTAGTCAAATAAATCATAGCTGAATACAGTAAATTCTCGGATTTGCTACTACATATAAATGCCTTATTTTAACTGTATGAAATATCCTACTGTAACGTCTGTTGATTTTGTTGACCATCTCGATTATTAGCGCACCCAGAGGGAGACCAAGAGAACCTTTGTTACATTTTTACTTTGGCACTCTCCAAAGAAAGAAATACAAACACTAGAAAATTTTTCAAAAATCTTTTTTTAATTAAAGTTAATTTTTTATTTATATTATGCTGCGTCTACTATTTCTATGCTACTTGTGAATTAGCGATCACAATAGATAGGAATTTTACCGAATTCGCATTAAAAACCTTTTACCCGTTCACTCGCTTCCCAAGATTAAATCCTGAATGATTAAATTTTCTGGATAGCAAATTAGGCCTATTTTCAGAAACCTAAATTCAACTTATGATACTGATCCTATGGGAAATATGGTGACTGGATTTACGATGGAACGTTTGACAACAATTTTCCAAGAGCTAACTAGATTGTAAAAGCGAACCTATTGTAATACAGTAGAATGTTAATTAAATTCAGTTAATATTGTTAATTTTTATATATCATTGCAAACATATGGACGTGGACATACTAAAAAAGAGATACTGTTAACTAATATCAAAATTTACATAATTCTTCAAGCATGGAATATCGTAGGTATTGATCAATATACTGTATATCAATACATATTGCAAGAAATATATGAAACGTTAACAGTACAAATGGAAATACGGTTCACTGAGGATATCATATGAACGCATTGAGTCAAGTTTATGGTATATGAATCCTTCGGCTTGCTATGGAAAAATTCGTAATTAAAAACTGGACAAACAACGCGAGATTAGTAACTTTACCAGAGAAACGATCATAACAATTTGTATCGTATTTTTGAGCATCGAAATGTGCAGTAGTTAATTCAGAGGGGACAATAGGAGCGATTGCTTCTTCTAAAATGTTTTATAGTTGCACAAGCTTCATTTTTTAATGTTTTAACATTATTTTTAAACTTTGTTACATTTTTATGTTGTAAATTATGTACTTTAGTTTATTTTAAAATAATTATTAATTCAATAAAACTTTTACGTGTCTATATTGTTTATTATTAATTTAATACTAAACAATTTAAAATTTGCTTTTCCGAGTTTTAGGCACGGTTTGTGAGTACCTATTGATTAGTAGAAATTAACTTTGTATCAATATAAACTATAATGAATTATAATCATTTATTTTATTTGTACATGTTTTACACAAGTATGTTAAGAAATAAAGACATATATAAGTCATTAAACAAATCTTATTCAGTCTGGTCCAATTAAACAGATAACAGGTATATTACAAATAAATAATAGTTTTTTTAATTAATTAATTAATTTTTTAATTAAATAATTAATTTTTATCTTATTATTTATTCACTTTTTATTTACTTGAATTGATTGAATGAACTTTTAATTTTTTATTATATCAGTTGGTAAAAAAATATGTATGGAAGACTTGGGGTGCTTCGAAATTACTAAAGAATTTTTCGATCCTGTACGACGTCCTATAAATGTTTTACCACTGGACAGAAAAATTATTGATGCTGTTTTTAAACTTTATCAGAGAGATGCACCATCCGAACCGACGATAATCAACACATACAAACCGAAATCTATAGAAGATAGTCCTATAGATCCAACAAAAAGGATAATAATTATCGTACATGGTTGGATTGATCAAGACTTTGGACCATGGCAAGAGGTAAATTCTATTTACACTATATTCATTTAACTTGTTTATTTAAAGCATATTGCTAAAAATTCTATCATTTCAATTGTATGGAAATTTTATATTTTGATGAAAATAAGTATACGATTATGGCAATACTAATCACATAGAGAACTGTAATACGATTTGAATTTCCATTAATACTTCCATGCCACGAATTTTTTGTTTCCGACCAATCAGAAGAGTTTAGTGATGTCAAGTGCGCCAAACACTATTCAAATTATTTATAGGATTTTTCATCTTCAGCACTTCGTTGAAATAATTATTATAATGTTTCAGTTTGATTTTTGCACCTTAGCATAGAACTTTTAGTCTATACGTTATTATAAGCAATAGGAATTCGATAATTTGACATTTCGTTTTCAATGAATGCATATTTCAAACATACAGTAATTATTTTAAAAATGTTTAAAATTTGATATTTGCTCATGCATTTACAAAATGATTACATACTGTTTAATATTTAATATTTAATATTTAATCATACGACCCTATGGCCATTGGCCTTTTTCAAGGGTCAAAAGAAAAACAAATGATACAAACATTTACAAAGTAAACAATCAACAAAACAACAAAAAAAAACAGAGAAGAGAAATACATAAAAAACAAAAAAAAATACACTCAACTAATCACATCTCAATATTTTTACAGCCCGTTTAAATTGTCCGTAAGTACACAAATCTTTATATTCTTCTTTTAAGGCATTCCAATTATATATAAGTTGATAGATTGGTGCATCTCTTCCAAAACTGTGCTTAATTTTTGGTAAAATCAAATTGTTTCTCCATCGGTAGTTGTAATTAGAAGGCCTAAAATATTTATTTAATTCTTCGCTTATATAAGATTTTTTCTTGCTCACCTTTATTAGTTTAAAACCTTCCAAAAGAACTTGTTTTTTATATAAAGTTTTTATTTTATCAATTTTGATCTGGTTATAAAAAGAAGTGACAGAGGAATCATAAGGCAACTTATATAATGCTCTTATAAAGTTATTTTGTATAACTTGCAATCTATTCAATACAAAAGAAGAAGCTGTACCCCATACAGAAATACCATATCGAAGTTTAGGTTCCATGCAAGCGTGATACAAGCGCAAAACAGTCTCACAATTTAAAAAACTCATTATTCTTTTCAGTATTCCAATATATCTAGATAAAGACAGTGTTAAATTATTTATATGATTGTTCCATCGTAACTTATCATCAATTTCGATTCCTAAATATTTTACAGTATTAACTCTTTGAATACGTTCATTATTTATTCTTACTTGTATATCTTCTAAATTCACTTTTTTGTTTTTATTTGATAAACAAATATAATTTGTTTTATTTTCATTTACTCTTAAGTTATTATTTTCCATGTACTTACTTAATTTAGATAACAAAGAGTTTATATTATTTTCAACCAAATGAAGATTCCAATCTGCATATGTTATAACAATATCATCTGCATACAATATAATATTATTCTCAGGAATAGTCTCTACAATATCATTTATATAAATATTAAAAAGTAAAGGGCCCAAAACGGATCCCTGTGGTACACCTTTGTTAACTCGAAATGGTTTTGATATTGAATTTTTTACCTTAACATAGTACGTACGATTTGATAAATAGGATATTAGCCATTCCAATGGCACTCCTCTCAATCCAACTTTAAACAATTTTTGTTTTAATATCTGAATATCAACACTATCAAAAGCCTTGGTCAGATCGATAAACACCGCCATTACAATATTTGCATTATCGAGACTGTTGCTAATATATTGTTTAAAATGAGTCAGAAGTATCAATTGTTGAGGCCTCTCTTTTAAATCCATACTGATTTTTACTTATAATTTTATTTTTATTGACGAATTCAAAAAATCTTCCGTAGAAAGCCTTTTCAATTATTTTAGTTATACTCTGAATAATAGTAATTGGACGATAGCTCTCCAAGTTCTGTTTAGATCCTTTATTTTTAATTAACCATTTTAATTTAAAATTCTGTTATCTACGGGATAAATTTTTTTAAAAATTATTAAAAACTAAAGAGTTTGCACAAGAACAGTCCATCTTTTATTGGTGATGTCACGAGTCAGCGAAAAGGCCTTGTTATCTGGTGGTGCCCCAAAGCGGCCTTAACCCCCTCGACTATTCAACCAGAAATTAAATCAAAAAATTAACTAACGTAAATGAAACATTAACCTGTAGTTTAAATTCATTTTTAAAAACTTTTTATGCCCCGAGGACACTAAAAACACCCTTTTTTTCAATTCCCTTCATGGGTTACGGCAGGACCACAATGGAGGCGTGGAAGAATGGTGAGAGACTTGATCACACGAACTGTCTGAAAAATTCTTGAGGTTTCTGAACCATAATCAAGGTCCCAGAGCGCCAGGCTGAAATACCTTTATCGTCTCAGCCATCGAATATAAATTTAATTATATGATGAAATTAATATGAAATTGATATACAAATTAAAACTTTATTATATTATGATTCTCAGCAATCTGTAAATTATAACAAACAGAATGTTTTAAGAATTAATTGTACTCATACAAGGATTAAATTTTTGCAGAGATTGAAAGACAGGATTTTATTAAACGAAGATTGTAATGTTATTGTAGTTGATTGGACTAAAGGCAATAAGCCGCCTTACACGCAAGCAACTGCAAATACGAGAGTAGTTGGAGCAGAAATAGCGCTTTTAGTTAATCTACTTGAGGTATTTTGTTTAAAATTTAAAATGTAAATAAAAAAGTTTTTAAAATTCTAACTAATAAAATTAATTTATAAAATTCAATTTTGAAGGAAAAAAGAAATATCGATCCTAGAAATGTACACATTATAGGCCATAGTTTGGGAGCCCAAATAGCTGGATACGCCGGNTGAGGTATTTTGTTTAAAATTTAAAATGTAAATAAAAAAGTTTTTAAAATTCTAACTAATAAAATTAATTCTTAAAATTCAATTTTGAAGGAAAAAAGAAATATCGATCCTAGAAATGTACACATTATAGGCCATAGTTTGGGAGCCCAAATAGCTGGATACGCCGGAGAAAGAATTAAACATCTTGGTCGTATTACAGGTAAAAAGTTTTACATTTTTTAATATAAAATACACATAAAAGATCATCGACAAGATTTAATTCTTAATAACGAAGAGTAAAGGATATTGTCTCTCTCTCTCTCTCTCTCTCTCTCTCTTTTCAATTTTAATTGCTTGTTTTTAAAATCTTAATAATCACGATTCCTTATAGAAAACGCATAATATATTAACTTCTTTGATTTATAAATTACATAAACATAAACACAAAAATTTTAAATAAAATAGGTCTTGCAATCTTTTTATCATCGGTTTAAATTCAAAAATCAAAATGCTGTTTTGGGTTGCAGAGATCGAGAGAAATTGGACCACTTATCTTTTTGACGCCTCCAGTATATTAAAACTTAGCATTAAAAATTAAAGTATTATATTTTTAATTAATAGAGCTTGACAAAATAACGCGTCTTCTTAATGTAAAAGAAATACTTTTATAATAAATATTTTTGAGGCCCTTGTAAATGTGAGGCCGGACGAAATGGCCTTGTGTGATAGTCTGAATGCTGTAAAACATGTTCTTAATTAATACAGTTGGAAAAATATATTTGAAAGAATATAGAAAAGTTTTGTTTGTAGTGTCTAGAATTTATTTCTTTTATCTCGTGGTTCATAGAAATTAATTTTCACATATTTGTATTTACAGTTGTTTAACTTTTTTTAATAAGTCCTTTTTGTAGTAAATGACACAACAATAAAATTACAGTATTTATTTATACGTTTATTACATTTTCAATGTAAGTTTGTTATAAATTAATATAAAACATCTAAATTTTCACAATACGATAATAAATATTTATTTATCTTTATATCATTTGACAGATGAATCTAAATAACTTATAATAAACTTAAATTTTTATATATTTTCTAAGATATAACTTACAGTATATGTTTCAATATCTACCGAAAGTATAGTATTATATCTCACCTCTCATGCTGATCGACCCCATTGAGGGTCAGCCCTCCCGCTATAAGAGAAATTATGACCGACCATATAGTCCTAATATGCTAATTTTATACATTAATAAGCTGATCAATTTTATGTAATGAACGTATTGAAAGCACCATTTAACAAAATGAAATGTTTCGAAATTGTGTTTTTTGAAAACTTAAACTTACAATTGGTTCAATTGTAGATCAATAAAGCTCTGAATTGGCCTTATTATTTGATTAAAATCATACTAAGACATTAATTTTATATAAAAATAATCTATTTAAATATTATTCAGGTCTGGATCCAGCCGAACCCTATTTCCAATATATGCCTGCCATGGTACGTTTAGATGAAACTGATGCCGAATTTGTTGATGTAATACATACAGACTCTAATTCAATAATATTATTAGGTAAAATATCAGGTTACTATCAAAATTTAATCATTTTTGCATGTATTTTTTTAAATTCTTTTTTTTTATTAGGTTTTGGCATGGAACAACCATGCGGTCACGTGGACTTTTATCCTAATAATGGTAGGAATCAACCCGGTTGTGAAAAACGCGGAAGACTTATAAAACTCATCACAGAAGGCATTATAGAAGGTCTGTCTTTTAAACTAATATATTATTTTTTCAATTATATTCGAAATTATTAATAATTTTACTTTCACAATTACGTAGGAGGAGGACGTTTCATAGGCTGTAATCATCATAGAGCCGTTGAATTTTATGCATCTACTGTGACTCAAAAAAAATGTCTTCCAGTAGGTTATAAATGTTCTAGTTGGGATAACTTTCTTGAAGGTAAATGTACTGATTGTGGACCGGATGGAAGTATGTGTGCAGCTATGGGTGAAAAGGCATACTTATCAAAAGGATTAGGTCAAAAGAATTTGAAATTGTATTTGAAGATGGGGAAGGACAGGCCATATTGCTGTAAGTTGATTTTTAGTATTTATAATTTATTAATTGTACAAACATATCAAGACTTTTACATATAAATACTTTCTCTCATTTTTTTAATGCATAAAGTTTCAGTTAAGCTTTATTTGAATTAATTTTTCGGATATAATTATAATTAGAAAATAAAATATTTCATTTTAATTAATTTTTTTTATTAAATGATATAATTTATACCAGAATAAAATATGGTTTTTCCATTAGTTTTCTTATAATTATAATAGGCTATCCCATATATAGGATACCCATATTAAAATTTATCTACGACGATTTTGTTATAATAATAATAATAATAATAAATATATAGGCTATAGTATTAGATTATTTTCAAAGTTGGTAATTTTATTGAAGATAATCACGTCAAACATTATTCAGAATAGAAATTTAAACTCACAATTATTTAATAAATTTCGTTTTATTTAGAAAGGATTTTAAGAAATATTAACTAGAGACTTACCATTTTTTATACTTTTAATAAAAACACTTCTAAGAATGAAAGTATATGCTGAAATATTCTCATTATTTTCAAAACCGGCAATTCTTCAAATGTTTTATCTGTGATAACGCATAAAACTAAAACACATTATATGAAACTTATTATGTTTACTTTTATCTATGAAAGCTTTATATTAATCAAAGTAATAATGCTTTCATAGTAAAACAAAAGTCATGGGTACATTTCGACTTAGACATTTCCCTACAATTAGGGATTATATTAATAAACTGTTGATCTGAGGGATTCTGTAAAATTTATCAGTATTTGTATGACTGGTGATTTACATTTCACACTAAATAATTTGATTTTTTAAATATTCCTTGTGACTTTGTTTCATATTAAATCTATTTAAAATAAGAAATAAATTGTTTTATTATAGATAAAAGTTAACAAAATTAATTAATACATACATTTCTTCGTTTTATTAATTTGATACAGTAAATTAGTATACCTGAAATTTCACATTATTGACCGTTTATATCAGGGGCTCCCAAAAGTATGAAAGATCTCATAAATTAAACGACACTTTAATTGACCCCTAATTGACCTCACACTAAAGACCCCTAATTTTCGGAAGTCAATTAGGGGTCAATTGGAAAAGATTCATTAAACATTATTAGTCCAACGAATTATGTATATGACAGTTCAAGACGTAAATTTACACACTATAACTTAAGTAATCTTTTCTACAGTGTAAAAATGATGTGTGGATTAATACTGTCTCACCAGATTTATTTATTTATTACTGACTAAATGACTAGCTGTAAAAAAAAAACAGGGGATTAATAAAAAGACGAGAAATCCTTGAATGGATCGACATACAAAAAAATTTGGGGACTCCTGATTTATATGAATCGAGACAGTTTCTAAATTATGGATCATAACTTATTTTTGTAATTAGTTTATAATTAATAATTTTCTTGATTTAAAACAAAAATTTTATACTGTTGATACTATTTTAATTAATTTGATGTAATTTCATTTAATAAAACGTAAACATTTGTCTATAAAGACGAGGATCGCTTAAGGCGATATCAAATTTAATTAATTTGGTGCTTCCTTTCGTAGACAAAGAATATAATTTCTATAAAAAATCGTATGTGTATATGTAAGAGAGCGTATAGTTATCCTTGTGGGAAAAATACATAGATAAATACTGTACATAAAAAATTTTGAAGTAATTGAAGACACGAGTAGATGAAAGCGCTTTATTCAAATTCAAAGTTTTTAGTGAGTTGATGTTCAAGTTTTTATCATATAATTATTCCGGTATAAATATATCTACGAAATAATGTGTTACAGAGTATTAGTGTCGTATAATTTCTAAGATCTTTCCTAGTGGTATGGGAGAGACTGATAAATTACATTTTCATCTATGTAGGACAATCATGGTTTTTAATGATTATAACATAACACATTCACTCGGGTTTCAATTATTTTTACAGTAATAAAACCTTTCTGAAATTATCTATTAATATTTATTTTATAATTATATCCAATAATATTCATAGTTTTGTAAACATGTGAATAAACGTTGGCAGAAAATTTCTATTTTTGAATCTATATTTAAAGCATTTCTTATAGTTATTGAATGCTTATATGTTTGAATATCGTTTTAATTTAGAAATACAAAAATAATTTTCGCCCATCTCTAATTAAAACGGTATTTGAATTCTCTAATATTACTTTGATAAAAATATATCTGAATACTACAAAATACCTTCACTATCGCGTCATAAGTAATCGCAGTGGCGAATCTGGAAGTACCAAAAGGAGCTGGTATAATTTGTGACAAAAAGAATATACCGAACGTTTTCGAATTCTTGTTTTCCTAAATAAAAATCTGCAGTAGGTGAGAATGAAAACAAGTAATATATTGTAAGTTAATCTATTGTACTTGAGATAAGAATACCTTAAATAAAGGTACTTTAAAAATGAAAATCAAAGCAAAGAATTTCAAGTTTTATTTCTTAAAATTTAGTAGATTATTTTCTTTTTATTTTTGTTTTACTTTATTAATTTATTAATGTTTTGAAATAAATAAAACAAAGTTAAATAATAAATAAATTATATATAGTAATTAAGTTCATTAAATATTCGGGGTATTCGTGTATTCGAGAAAAAAGTTATATTCTCTCATTTCTAGTTTTAATTATATAGCATGTGGTTTTGAATTATCAATTATCCGAAAAATTTAGAATAGATCTATGTTAATCAATTATCATCTACGATAATAATGAAATGATTTTGATTTATTTGCAGTGTATCACTACAAAATAATTGTAAAACTGCACAAAGTTAAAAATTCACAGAAAATGAGAGGAAAACTGGAAGCAGTCATATATGGAGAGGAAACCGATGCATCACAAACTTTAACACCGCAGTAAGTTCAATACGATTATTTCGCCAAATAATATAAATTAATTAAATGCAAATGTCTATACTTTATCTAATCTTAAATTTCTGTTTAGTGATGTTGATTTGGTCCCTGGAAGCCGTCACGTATATATGTTTACGACAGACAAAGATCTTGGAAATTTTAAATCTGTTTCAATAAGTTGGAAACCTCATCTTGGCGACTTTATCAATCCTTTTAATTGGCTTAAGACTAAGAAAATTAATATCAAATATGTTCAATTAGTTCCTATGAACGTTATCCAGAAAGAGTGAGTTATTTTGTTTATAAAAAATAATAATAATATTCGTATTAATGATTCATAACAAGACCATAACCTTAATTGAATTAATTTAATTAAACAGAATCGTATAGAAATTATTAATTGTTACAACTTATATTATATCATTATTATTAATATATTATTTATTTAGAATTAAAAATTTTAATTTATATTTATAGGGAAAAACTTGCTCAAACGAAGACATTTTGTCAATCAGATCCTGACAAAGCAATTAAACCTGGACAGCCTGCGGTTCATATTTTAAGTAATAAATGTGAATTAGATTAATAAATAAATAAATAAAATTTTATATGTATTATTTGTTACTAAAAGGAATGCATTTCATTAATCTTTCCATCGTGAATAAAGTTATTTTCTGTAGGTCCTTAATCTATGGCTACGAGCAATATCAATATTTTTAAAAGCTAAAAATCACTCAGTAAAAATAAATAAAATAAATTCATAGGTTACACAGTTCACCGATTTAACAATAAAATATAACATCAGTTATACTTTATTGATAAACCGGTTTATCACGTACACTGGTATTACATAAATAAAATTTTAATTCAAATGTTGAAAATTTAATTGCTTGATTTTTTTCCTTTCTAAGTATTTGCATATGGAATGGAACAAAATCATTTAATTTATATACAGAATGATTTTTGTCCAATATGTGTGGTAAATGCCTGAACATAGAATAAAATGCTCTTGCTGTGTGTTGTGTGCCTGAAGAATCTTGACAAAGCACAGGCGAAAATATTTAAAAGTTTCAAAATTAAAGTTTTATTTCTATAGCATTCATACAAATGATTATTTCTTATTGATAAATTTTTCACAATCCGATGTCCCTTTGATAATAAGTAATTTTTATATATATTTTAAAATTAAATTGTTTACATTTCAAATACATATTAGGCATATATTTTTACAAATAATTTCAAATGAACTGTTTATTTTTTTATAATTCTATAATTACAAGTAATGTTTTCGTATATGTTTATTAATTGTTTATTTTCCTCTTAATATTTTCCTTTAAATCATTTCAACGTCTTTTAATATAATAAAAATTTAAAAAGTTAACGGAATAAATTCTATAAACATTCTATAAAAATAATAACGATAGTAAAATCACATTACTTTAAAAATATACAGCGTATTAAATGATTTAAGTTAACAAAAATGCATATCACAGTTTAAAATTACAGAAACTGCATAATTAATTATGTTAAACAATAGCTACACCAATAATATTTCTTCGGAGGACAAAAAGTTCTTCTTGTAAATAAACTTCTTTTTCGCAAATTTCTTTGAATCCCGCTTCGCTGATGCTTTCAGAAATAGGAGCACACAAACGACAGCCATCATTGGCCGGGCGCCAGAATATTTCAACAAAATTTTGCAAGAAACGTTTCCAAGTGCCACTTTTATATCCGATATGTTCCAAGTAATAAAATTTTCCACCCTATAAAATAATACAGGTTTTTAAGGAATGTATTCTCTTTATTTTCCTCCGTTAATAATAGAAAGATAATTTTATTATTAGTAATAAAATACTTATGAAATACGTTTTAAATATTCTACTGTTAACAATATCATCCTCGACCACCTCTTCAATATATTAAGATCTTTCGATCTAACTTCGATGAAAATTATGATTAATAACACAAATTAAATATTTATCTCAAAGAATTTCGTTTAAAAATTAGTTTTTTTGTATTTTACTCCAGATCTAGAGTTGGGAGCTGGGAATACCAATTTCTTGAAACTATTTTATTAATATATACACATTGAAAAGAGTTAAAGTCAATTGGGTTATTCTTTTAGAATTTATTTAAAAAAAAAAAAAACATCAAAACACGTTAATATTGGGAGAAGTGATTTTTGAATAAAATTTTCGAAATAAATACATTTATTTTTTGTAAGCTAAAATTTTGTACGAGTAAAAAATATTTCATAATGTGGAAGCTTTTTGATATAGGGCCTCACCTCTAGATCAATGGTCCGATTTTCCTGAAAATTTCAAGAAATATTTTCCCGTAATATAGAAAGTCCCCTGCAAAATTTCAGAAATTTTCGACAAATGGCACAGGAATTATTAAGCTTCAAAGTGAGTGAAAAAAATCGTTTGCACGCACACATACAGAGAAAAACTCCAATTGTTTTTGTATTGCTCGAAGTTTCAAGATCTTCTGAGTTTAAAAATGTAAAAACCTTGAGGGTCAATTTGACCGATCGTCATATTTTGTTATACAACAGCCTGGAAAGTAAAATTCAAATTATTTTATATTTTCTCCTAAATATTGGAAGCATTTATCCTAAGAGGAAAATGAAAGAAAGTATGTTTATATCTGTCCCATCATCATCTCAACCTCTCCTATTATCGAGGACTATAGGTGATCTGCAGGCTGACTTAAAGTAATAAAGATTAAAACTTTGTTCAATGATGATTCACTTTTAATAATTTACTTCCAATTTAATTAATTATGTTTCCGTATATATTCAAAACATGCTTTTAGATTCATTATGTTATATAAAGCACAGTATGTCCCAAATGTTGGTAATATCCACATTAGGCATACATAACTAAGTGGTGTGTAGATTTTTTCAGACATTAAATTTTACTAATCTTTAGGATTAAAAAGGTTGAGGCTGAAAACGCTGTTCTACTCTTTCTTGAAAATATATTTTATTTGTATGATTATCAAATTTAATTAGAGACAGAATTACATACAGAATTTTTTTCAGTTTTTATTTTTGAATAGGATCAGGAAGTCTCAAAACGTGCAGATACATATAATGTATACATAACAACCGGGAAAGTAAAAGTTTCTTTAAATTTCATAATTAACAATAACGAATGAATTTATTTAAAATCTACTTAAACTATATTGGAAAGCAAAGAATTGCTGCGCATAGTCTCAATCATAAAACACGAAATATAATATCACTTACCGAACACAGAACTCGCTTTATCTCTGCCAGTACCCCATTTAGATTGTTTACAGAACACAATACCAAAGTAGAAACGACCGCATCAATGGATCCATCTTTTATATCCGGTATCGTTTCAGCTTCACCTATAAGGAATTTTTCGATTTTTATGTGCGGAAATTTATTTTTATTGCTTTTGAAATACTCCTCAAAGAAAGTATTAGGTTCCAACGTAATCAAATGAGCATTGTCGGGATAATATTGGAAGTTGGTACCGCTCCCTACTCCTATTTCTAAAATTCTTATACGTCCCCGCTGTTTCAGTTTTGGATCGTGAGATATTATTTCTTTCAGAGACGAAAATAATTCTTTTTTATAAGGATGGAGTCTTTTCGTCATTCCCGGAGCGATGTACTTCCCAAATACAAGAGCAAACAAATATTTTTGTAGGTTTCTTCTTTTTAAATATACTAAAAGAAACGTGATTAAAAAACATAACGAACGAAAATCGAAAAATCTAGGTAATTTGTTTACTCTGTAGAAAATAATTGTGACGCTCTCCATGTTATCTAACTTGGTAACTATAAAATAAACCCGAAATATATTATTAATAAATTTTAATAACATAATGAAAATATTTAAATAAGTATTTTAAATAAATTATATCTGCTTACCTGAATTTATTTTCTTTTATTTATGATGTTAATCAGATTATATACGTTAATTTCATTACTGTTATACGCAGTGGAATGAAAAAGAAAAAGTTCAATAACCCATGATTATAAAAAGAAAGGTAACTTTCGAGCAACGTAAAATATAAATAATATTTGCATCGTTCGTAAGTCACTGACAAATGTTCATCATTACTCCCGACGGTAGCCTAAATATAGGTCAGATCAATACAAAATCGTTTCTAACTTACGACACGGAACGGGAGGAGTCAATAGTGACATCATATTCTATAAAACGTCAATCGACAGAACAGTAAACTTGCGCAACTTTTCAAAAATTGGAACAATTATACAATGGATGTTATATTTTAGGAATGCTGCGATCAATTTCATATAGGCCTACATATCACATTTACAAATTAATTAATTATTACAAGTTCACAAGGGAAAATAACGTAGAATTCTCCATTGGAAGAGTTGAATGAACTCTGCAAGTTCAACCAAACCGGCAGAAATTCGGAATCTTATATGTTTACCTTTCTTTTTATCATACTAAAATATATTTTTAATTTGCATTTTATACTTCGATACAATCAATTATTTTACAAGTACTTTCGGATATTTTAATTTTTAAATTAAAATTTTTAATGAAATAAATAAAGGTAACGAATATATCTACACATTTTCCGTTTAATAATACAAAAATTTTTGAATATAAAAAATATATTTTCCGAATTATTAAATTATAAGTTGAGTATCTTAATTATTCAAAATAAAACAAAACGTTTTATAATTTTTTAAAAATCAATAATTGAATAATGTACTTCAAATAATTTTGTATTTTCTTACATTCAATAGAAAATTTCTATGTAAAAGCCATATTAAATATAAAATTTAATAATAATATGAAGTTACTTTAAAAATATAC